CTGCCCGAAACGCTACGCGTACTAGTGGCTGTACAAGAATGTAACAACTCTTGTATATATCTCAAAAAAAAAAAACACTCAGGCGTCGTTGTTGTTTGGTGAGAAGGGCGGAGTTAGGGGTCTTTCGTTGCCCAAAATAAAGGGAATTACATAGCTTTTCGCCCGTATGTCCTACGCCAAATATCGACGTAATTCAAAATGAAAATATATTTTTCAATTAAATTTTGGAATTTGTTTCTCCAAAACAGCAAGTTAAGGGTCCTTTGGTAGGTTAGGAGGGCAGGAAGTTCTCCTAAGGTTTCAAAACGTCATGGAAACCGTTAAGTTAATTGAAAATTTCCTCTCCTAACCTAACAGTCTAAGCCAGAGGACCCAAAACAAAAAACGGGTCAATATGTCACTTTCGTGAGCCGATTTCATTTTGAATTACGTCGATTTTTAGCCTGAGTGCGCATAAGAGCGAAAAGCGACGTAATTTGTAAGGGGACGGGATGGGAAGTGCGGGTGCGTCTCATAACTCCTTGCTTCTCACTTTAAACACGGAAACGCCACTTTTGCTGAAACTCAAAGTTATCTTCGCTAGCATATTCGGATATCCTTAAATCCCATATTAAATTCGGCTGAAATATTGTAGTAATATTAATGCCGTTGCGCTGGGCCAGTGTGTTGTGTCCGCGGCTGAGATTGCCAAAACTGGAAGTTGTCTTGTCAAACCTGCTTCCAGATTTCCCAGCTGAAGGTCAGGGCAAAGACACCGGCCTGGGGTTTAATGTCCCGCCGCAGGGTCACGCTCTCTCTTGTCATACTCAAAGAATACTGAGGGACACGCACAGGAACCTGCATGAAGGGAAACAAATTATCAGGAGAGAGCGACAAGCCGTTATAGCACTTGGAAGGGATCAAATAAGGATTTGGAATGTGACGGGGAGTTTGGAATGGTGCCCAACCACTTGGACGGTCGGGGATTGAACGCCGACTTGCATGAAGGGAGACCGTCGCTCTAGCGTCCAGCCCAGTATTATTTGAGACCGTCGAATATAAGGAATGATTTTTAATGAAGAGCAAATCCAGCTTTACATTACTGCATTGATTTTTAGGACTTAAGAAATTATTACTTCCAGTTTCCCTTAACAAATAGATTTACTAATTTCCCATTATATAATTGAGCTGATATTTAAGAGTTGTCTTCTTTAATTAAAGTTATAAGTTTATATATATTTTTATTAAACTGCATTTACCTTTTTTTCATCCAGATTTAAAACTTTCCGAGGGCCTCTTCCGAGGCTTTAGATTTTTCATGTGAATTTATAATGCTTCCTATTTTATGCACTAGCTGGAAAATTATTTATATATCTATTTACTTCAATATAAAAATGATTAATGTATTTTATGAATAATATTTGTCGGAAAATCCGACACCATTTAATAATAATATCATACAGACAGATAATAATTGCTGCTGTATTGTATAAACAAGTTAACCCATAGAAAACGTAACTTGTAGTGGAATTACCGTCTATAGAAAACGGGATATCATCACCACATACTATTATAAATTCACCAGCTATTCTGCTGGGAATTATTCTTAAATACATTAGTCTTTGGACTTTACCATCATAAAACATCTCATATAAATTAACTTAATTATCAGTATTAAAGTAGAGTAAATGTGACCCTTCTATCACTTACTGTCATCTGGACAATGTAGGCCAGTAGCGTCAGGGTGAGGGAGTGGTCAGCCGCAGCCATTGTTTGTACTGGACCAGAGGCTCACGGGAGCAATTCGGCTCCTGTTAATTTTACTTGAACTAAGTGTTATGGAAACCAAAGGTGTACCATCATCAACACGCTGTCAACAAATTCAAGTTAAGTGTTCTACCGAAACCCATTTATCTATCATTAGTGGCCATTAATGTCAGTGGATATAGGGTGAGCCGGTTAGAGCATGAGATCGCCTCAAACTAAAGGTAATTAAGCCCAGGTCTATATGGTTCCTTGTACAGTGTTTTCTCTGATATAGATGTCATATATTAGGATTCTGGCTTTACAGCTAGCGCCCTTTTGACAGGTCAAGACGAGGAAGCATGCTTTGTGCATCAGTTACCAGGGTGATGGAAGCTACCTCACAAGAGGGAAAATGTGGTGTCTACATCCTGGTTATACCTGGTGGACTAAGGCCTGCTGTACAAATAAGATAAGGAACCTCTTCAATGTATGTAGTCTAATACTGTAGTTTGATTGGCTGCATATATATAAATTAAATTAATATAAACCCCCCCCTAATGTGTAGAGGATCGATTTGTGAGATTAAGAGATTATTGCAGAAATACAGTCCACTTAACATCATACAAATTGCTATCGAAGTATATAAATTAACGTAAATATAAATTCATATAAATTAAATAAATATAAATCTCACAGGTCGGTTCCCACAATATTGGCCCCAGGACAGAATTGTAGTACAGTACTTCACTTGCTTATCCATCAGTTAAGCATGAACTAATACCATTTAATATTTGCCATGTCTCTCAACTTTCCTAATTAAACTTTAATGTAGATCACCGTTGAAAGCCTTGTTAAGGTCAAAATAAACATTATAATTACTATAAATTGACACCACAGTCACTTGTTTGTCTGTATGATCGGTATGTATACAAGGCAACGACATCATGACAACAATATTGATCACCTCCTCCGCTCCCTGTAAAGTACTGAAGGTATAGAACAATGGGGTTCAGTTCCTGCTGTGACTGAAACCTTCATGTTAATTAAGCTAAATTAACCAAAATTGTGATAGTAAGACTAGGTTGATGTACGTGTTAACAAACTCTGTAAATAGATCATAAATGCTGTAACTTGCTTAGTTATAAGAATATTGTTGGGGTACAAAATTAGCCTAATGCCCATTTTGTGTGCCGTGATGCCCAAAATGAGCCTGATCCCATTTTGTGTCTATCATTTTTCCCTGCCACCCATTGGATGGGTATCGGGTGTATAATTAAACGAACTCAACTAGCCCAGTGGGCCGAGCGGGTACCAGTCTTCCGGGACCGTTGCCAAGGTGAGCTGTAATACGCAGTAACAAATTAAACGTTAAGATGACTAGACGCCTAATACGATTAACTAGCCTATTGGCATGAAAATTGAAGTTAGATTGACTTTTTCTATACGGTACATTCAGCCACATTCAGTACACAGGAGTGAATTAAGGATGGATTACGTGATCGTCCAGGAGAGTCATGGAACATCTCCGGTCTTGACCCTGCGAGGTGGAGGCGGCGTGAGGCCACATATGTTGTTCAGAAGCAAGACCGCCACCGCATACACACTCCCCATTTCAAACGTTCTTCTAATAAATTTAATGTAATTTATGCCAGTTATTCTGTTAGATTGGCTATCATTTTTCAGGGGATATGGATATATATATATGAATGAAAACTCACACCCCAGAAGTGACTCGAACCCATACTCCCAGAAGCAACACAACTGGTAACTACAGGGCGCCTTAATCCGCTTGACCATCACGGCCGTCAAAGGAAGTGATAGCCGAGGCTATTTGAGCCACTTCCCCGACGGCAACTCGGATGGTAATCTTGGGCATAGCATTTCACCAAATCACCTCATTCTTTGGGGCACACGTGAGGAACACAAATGCGAACAAGCCTGAATGGTCCCCAGGACTATATGCGAATGAAAACTCACACCCCAGAAGTCCTGGGGTGTATATAGTCCTGGGGACCATTCAGGCTTGTTCGCATTTGTGTTCCTCACGTGTGCCCCAAAGAATGAGGTGATTTGGTGAAATGCTATGCCCAAGATTACCATCCGAGTTGCCGTCGGGGAAGTGGCTCAAATAGCCTCGGCTATCACTTCCTTTGACGGCCGTGATGGTCAAGCGGATTAAGGCGCCCTGTAGTTACCAGTTGTGTTGCTTCTGGAGTATGGGTTCGAGTCACTTCTGGGGTGTGAGTTTTCATTCGCATATAGTCCTGGGGACCATTCAGGCTTGTTCGCATATATATATATATATATATATATATATATATATATATATATATATATATATATATATATATATATGTCGTACCTAGTAGCCAGAACGCACTTCTCAGCCTACTATGCAAGGCCCGATTTGCCTAATAAGCCAAGTTTTCATGAATTAATTGTTTTTCGACTACCTAACCTACCTAACCTAACCTAACCTAACTTTTTCGGCTACCTAACCAAACCTAACCTATAAAGATAGGTTAGGTTAGGTTAGGTAGGGTTGGTTAGGTTCGGTCATATATCTACGTTAATTTTAACTCCAATAAAAAAAAATTGATCTCATACATAATGAAATGGGTAGCTTTATCATTTCATAAGAAAAAAATTAGAAAAAATATATTAATTCAGGAAAACTTGGCTTATTAGGCAAATCGGGCCTTGAATAGTAGGCCAAAAAGTGAGTTCTGGCTACTAGGTACGACATATATATATATATATATATATATATATATATATATATATATATATATATATATATATATATATATATATATATATATATATATATATATATATATATATATATATATATATATTTTCGGGACATGATTAAGCCCAGGTAGGATTTAATGCCTAGGTCCACTAACAATGTTAGTACGTCACTCATCCAATTACTGGCCCTTAACCTGAGTGAGGGATGTGAATATAATAATAATAATAATAATAAAAAAAATATTATTATTATTTAGGGAAAAGTACATGTATACAAAATAGGATACAAGAAGAATATTGGATTTTTAGGTACCGCAGATATATAATAAACCTAAAGCCAGCGTTTCGGGCATTGATATCATACATGTCAGATAACAAATCAGTTAAAATCCAACAAAATTTCGCTACTAGTTAGGAAGAGTACAGAACAAGCAAGCATTAGTAACAGAGGAGAAAGTTGTGAGGACATGGTGGACATAACAAGTGAGGGTGCGAGGAGTGCGGGAGGGTTGGCAGGCCTGGGCACCTGAGGGCGGGGTGTCCGCTGGGAGGGTACCTGACCCCACAGTGTTACACACCTTCCCTCCACACGCACAACACAGCCTCTCACTCTCACCTAAATACCACACATCTAACATCCTCTACGTATGTGAGTGTGAGACAAGCGGAGGTGTTAGTGGTGCGAGAGGCGGTCAACCCGCCCGGGGCGACGCGGGTACTGCGCGCTGGTAATGTTAGAGTGTTGCCCACTATCCGGTGTCCCATGCCAGTCACCACCCTGGGCCCTGGCAGTGTTATGGTGGGCACGTCCCCCTTGGTGTGGACTCGGCCTCTCTAACTGACTGATCATGTGGACAAGGCCTATTGGAAAGGACTTTGAATGGTTTCTTGGGTGTAGTGAAGAATTAAGGAAAGGTAAGTGAGTCATAGGAAGTGTATGATCCCCGCAGGTGGTGAAGCAATGTGAGATGTTTGGTAACAGATTCACATGTTTTGCTGTATTCCGGGTAATAAAGGCCAGGTAGATTTACTCCGAAACTTTCCAATCAACATTTAAGTTTTTTCTTTACAGGCACATGCACGTGCGTTTGTTATTATATAAACAATAAGAAAACAAGTAAGCTATTATTGTGAAGATATCTATATTTTAATTATCAAGATAAATGAGACTCGTTGTGGGGGTGTCAACTGAACGGCTGTTGGTACGCCAAACGGCTTTTCCCATACACTTGTGTCAGGATTCAGAAGGTCCTTTGAATAACAAAACGATAAACGTATTTTTTTCCTATTGGGGAGGGTTGTACATAATGCAGTTCAATTTCAATTTATTTTTTATTATGCACCCCATACCCATCCAGTGGGCGGTGGTGGAAAGGGTTACAGAGGCACATAATGGGTTCAGGAACTGATCCCCAGAGTTCGTTTAGCAAATCAAGTGACAGTCTTTTTGACGCTAGTTACACAATTGCCAATGTTATATATACAAGTATATATATATACAGTACAATCATTTACACAAATACATATACACATCGATAATCTTCTGTATCACAAGTAATTCAACAAGAGGCTGACAACAGTCACTATATAAGGCACTTTACATCTATGGTGAGTCACACAGTTACTAGGCTTGCTCCACACCCACCCAACTGGACGGCAGCTTTAATCATGTGCATGCATTACCAACAGTAAGCAAATTTTGGATACTTCGCTAAGATTCCTGAGAGTATATTATCATGTATGAATTAAGTACTTACACATTTCTTGAATTCCATTGATAGTGCTACTGTATCTGAATTCCGCGATTTTTTCACATTCCATTATATAAAGACGGAAAGTATGCGAATAGTTCTGCTGACAAGGTTTACATTTTGTCAAATCTACATCAGCTATGGCGGTATGTCCACTCGCAGGATGAGTGGCTCTGACCAATAAACTCGCCCCTCGGGGCAAAATTAAAAAAAAAACCTTGCCGTTGACAACGAGACATAATTTGTATTTTTCAGATTTTGCCAAAATTTATTAATGTAGGCTTTGTTCTACTGTGAGGTCATCATTACAGTCATATCATTCAATACCTCTTCTTCGTTTCATTAATTAGCCTTGAGTTTGTGTTGTATGGCCTAATCTTAATGTAACCGCCATGGTAATAATGAAAATAGTAGTTATTACTGACCTTTCAAACGAATAAACTTGGATGAGCACTCCGTATTTCCCTGGCACGCAAATTAGCCTATTGGGATGCTGTGATACTTTGTATATGCTCAGAATAAGAAGTTAAAGATGAATTATAACATTACTGCACACAATTTAAAACCTATAAAAATAATAATTGTCTGACCAATGTATATATATAATTGTCTTCATATAGTGTATATATATATGTATATATATAATTGTATGTATATGTATAATTGTCTTCCTATTGGGGAGTGTAGAACTCCCCAATAGGAAGAAAAACCCGCTGGGTTGTTCATCCTGTCGCTTGTACCCAGACACAGCTTCATGGGACTTGCTTAACTACCTTAAGTGAACAGTTTATCAAACAAGAAAATTAACATTCGTCACAACAGGCTAACTCCTGAGTACAAACTTATTGCTAGGTGAACAGCAGCATTAGGTAATAGGAAATGCGTTCAGCCATTTCTGTCCCACCCGGGATATATAAGGCTTCCCCATTGTAATTTTCGACGTTTTCAACAACTGTTTTAGGATGTTTCATATTGTAATCAATGTTAATATTAACAATATTATATAATACTACCCTACTTTTGAGAAACGACACTACCTAAAATACGCTTTTCTCTACCTCCGTGGTAGCACGGTCATTCCCTTTCTGGACTTCTGTTGTTCCAGTAGTCAGGTGACTGAATCCTTAGTTTGTACCAGTGTAGTGTATGATAAGAATACATTAGATTAGGTGAAAGATCATGTAAATCTTATAATGTGACAGGTTGAGGACTGGTGAAGACGACGGGCGGTGATGGAAGTGGTGGAGACACTGGTGGCCGTGGCCCTCGGGGTGTTGGCTGCCGTGTTCCTGGGCTCCCTGGCTGCTCTCGCCCTTGTCTGCTACCGTCGGGCGATCCACTCCAAGCACCACCTCTTCTACAGCCAGGATATAAGGTGCCATAACTCTCTCTAGCCACCAGTATAATACCGCTTCTGTGCCAGGTATGTCCACTACGGGCTCACCATAGCCCGTGCTACTTGGAACTTGTTCCGAGTAGCTGAATCTATAACAACAACAACAACTCTTTAGCCAGTATGTAAGGTATGATGGCTCCTCTACCAGCCCATCATCTCGAGCGTTCTCAACGTCATTAAACTGATGTACTAAATTGCCCAAACCTAACTTAACCGAGGACCGTCGAATAGAAACCAGGACGTCAATTTTGTTTTTTATGATTTTTAGTACATCAGTTTTTGACCTTAGGGAATTTACACGTCAAAATGCGATGTACTATTCGAGAAGACAGGTTGCTGCTACAGCCAGGATATAAAAGTATCATATATCCGATTGATGTGGATTTCAGGAGAGAGTTTTGACGTTCAGTGACTGTATGATACTTCTCAGGATTAATCTTGTTTTAGTTGAGGGACCTGGCATTGTCAGGGTGTAAGACGGGGCCATATCTTCACTACACACAGTCTTTATAACATCGTCACTGTTGTGGGCGACCCTCCATAAAACATGAGGGACTTCTGATTTTCTACAATAGCCTTATGTTTGGAAATATGCCTTTTACGCTTTTAAGGGATTAGTTTTAGGTTCCTATGCAGCCAGTCGCAGTATAGAATACTCTTATCTGGGTTTATAAATGTACTCCCAATTATTGTAAAATATTTAAATACACTAAAATAGATAAATTTAACATATCAAAACTCGATGGATAAAATACTGTGCAAGCAAGCAAACCCTAAGTGAAAGAATATAAGAATCAAATACAAAATTATTCCATGTAAATAAATATAATATATAATTACTATACATGGAATATGTAAGTAACAGTGTTATTGTTGAGCGTATAATATGCACATGACCCCGTCAAGTCCGGCCCTAGTGCACAGGACTGTGGTGAACCCGTGCTCACGTGTCTTCCACTCTCTCTCAATCATCCACCCAGGTATAATTAAGACGTTTTGTGTCTAATCTTTTTGAGCAACCGCTGACAAGATTAGTATGGGGTGCACAATAAACAGCCGCTCACAGGAGGAGTATGTGACCTCAGATAGTTACTAAGGTCAACACTATAACATGCCAATCAGCAAGTATTCTTTAGTTATAGGCATAATTCAGAATTAAAGTACTGAGTTCAAATACACCCAGAAGCGGTGTACATTTCTCCATGTATATACTATACCCCTAAACGTTGTATTTTCACGCTACTTTTTATTATTAGTAGTGTCATAGGAAAGACTTAATTTAACATCCGATAATAAAGATGTCCTTGTAATTGTTAAATTTCTTGTTTGGTTAAGTAATTTTATTTATAATATTTTTTCTTTTACGTGAAATTACAATTTTATGATTGTTGGAGTTTCCTTTTGCATTTGAAAATTCTGTTATGCTTTTATATATAATACTGTATAATGGACTTTTTAATTAAGATTTACATGCATTTATATTGACAAATATCATTCATCTCAAAATATGTTTTTTTACCCAAGTAATAATAACAGTGGGAACTTTTATAATAATTTATATTATAGTACTAAAAGCAATCACAAAGTACACAAAGGTATGCGTGAATAATGTCAATATATATATAGTTAACAACAATTGTCAAACATTTCTGGGCAATTATTTACCATAAAGTATAGAAAGGTTTGAAGTTGATGTTACATTACAGACCCGAGGGGCTGATGAACAGTGGGGAGCTGTGGAGTGAACTGGAGCTGGACGATGTTCGTCTCGCCCCTCAGATAGATAAGATCCTCAATGATACACAATGGGTTGACGACGCTACTGGTGAGTGTGCAACAGTTAAAGCAGGGCTATATTATCTACATATATATAGGGCCTACTTAATAACCATAATAACCATACTCGCATTACCTGGCCTAGTAACCAAGGTCCTATTTGCCTAACAAGCATATATATATATATATATATATATATATATATATATATATATATATATATATATATATATATATATATATATATATATATATATATATATATATATATATATATATATATATATATATATATATATATATATATATATATATATATATATATATATATATATATATATATATATATATATATATATATATATATATATATATATATATATATATATATATATATATATATATATATATATATATATATATATATATATATATATATATATATATATATATATATATATATATATATATATGTCGTACCTAGTAGCCAGAACGCACTTCTCAGCCTACTATGCAAGGCCAGATTTGCCTAATAAGCCAATTTTTCATGAATTAATTGTTTTTCGACTACCTAACCTACCTAACCTAACCAAACCTAACTTTTTCGGCTACCTAACCTAACCTAACCCATAAAGATAGGTTAGGTTAGGTTAGGTAGGGTTGGTAAGGTTCGGCCATATATCTACGTTAATTTTAACTCTAATAAAAAAAATTGACCTCATACATAATGAAATGGGTAGCTTTATCATTTCATAAGAAAAAAAATTGAGAAAATATATTAATTCAGGAAAACTTGGCTTATTAGGCAAATTGAGCCTTGCATAGTAGGCTGACAAGTGCGTTCTGGCTACTAGGTACGACATTATATATATATATATATATATATATATATATATATATATATATATATATATATATATATATATATATATATGCAACTGACGATCACACAACACTGATCATAGGTATGCGGAAAAACCAGTGATATGTGGTGTGGTTTTTCCGCATATAAATATATACACACAGATATGGGGAGATCGAGAGAGAGAGAGTAGCACTTATCGTTTTATGCCTTGGTTTACCTGCAGGTTTAATCCCACACTGTCTGGCCATTTTGAAGTTGTGTCACCAGATGACGGAGAGACTCGTGGCCACCACCATGACGCCCATACACAAGGAAAGACTCCATGATATTATTGAGGTAACTCATGTCTCTTGTCATTAACTCCTTAGGTGTCTTCTGCTCCTTGTCTCATTTTCTTGTTATGTGTCTTTTGTTCCTTATTTTGTTATGTCTTCTGCTCCTTGTTTTGTTATCTGCTCCTTGTCGTCCCTCCAGTCTTCTCTCCTTTCCACCTTCACGTTGACCAAACCAACACATCAGAAGATGAAGAAACGACGTTTCGGACCGTCCTGGACCATTATCAAGTTGTGTGTGAGCGAAAACCTTTATTTACTCATTCTGGAAGATTATCACTTAATGTCTCCACAGTGTTACTTGTTTCTGCTTATCTGCGTTATGCTTTGTTCAAGATCTGTGGTATCTTTACCATTATAACATCACATACGGTGGATAACTGCTCATTCAGTCGTATAATTTAATTGAAAATTTCCTTTGGATTATAGCGAAATTGGGTCATATATTATGAGTCATCTTTTGAGATATTTTGGTACATGAGTTTCCCCTGATGTTTCCCAGTACCTGATTTCCCTGATTTATCCTAATATTTCCCTCATGTATCCCAATATTTTCCTCGTGTATCCCAATATTTCCCCTCATGTATCCCAATATTTCCATGGTGTATCCCAATATCTCTGGTGTATCTCAATATTTCACTAATGTATCCTATTATTTGTATTTGCTGTATTTGTATTCAAATATGTATTTGAGAGCAATGTATTTGCTCTCTGGAAAAAGAAAACTTCCTTTTTTCTGTTGGCATATTCGTTCGACATGCTTGAGGCTGTTTCCTTATATGTGACACATTTTACTTTAAGAATGTGGTCATAATGTTTGGCCACACATAATGATACAACATTTTTGAAAATGTTGTCATAAATTTTAAAGATGTCATACTTTTCGGAGATGAGATCTTAAGAGAAAATCAGTTTGAACAAATCGGTAACTGGAACCAGCAACATGGATACTCCCAACTGCATGGCTTAGACCACCGCACCACGACATGCTATAAGTACTGACACCTGGGATTCACCTGAAACACCCAGGGCTCTTGAGGCATCGAATTGATACAAAAACAAGTTTTTACACATTGCCTCCATTCATCCTGGTGTGGTATAGACTTCATCCATCATACACTCCCTTCACATGTATATTTGAAGGGAGAGTATGGTGGACTAACCACTACATCACACCAGAAGGTATGTGGGTAATGTGTAAAAACTTGATTTGGCATCAACTTGATGCTTCAAGATCCCAAGAGGATTCAGGTAAATCCCAGATTACATTACTTACAGCTTATCGTGGAGCAGCGGTGTAAGGCGTGCGGTTGGGAGTGCCGGACCTGCCTTGCTGATTCAAGTCCCCGCATTGATCCAATTGAATGTCATTGATATATCTCGTTAGTTTAATTTCCTTGTGTATGAGGTCATAATGTTTGAAGATATAATTTGTAAAGATGTGTTCATAATTTGTGAAGATCTTATAGCTTTCGTCAACTAACGTGATCAGTACCTTAAATGTAACTACCTGTAATGGTGTTATGGGTGTGTGGCTTTAAAAAATAGTAGGGATGTCAAAGGTTGTGTATTTGAAAGGGAAAATGTTACTACTGACACTTTGGATGAGAGGGTAATTATTAATATATTGAAGCATATATGAGTATAAGCTGTATGATATAAGACTTTGCCTGCAGGTGACGAGGCGCCTCTCCCCACGGATAGACGACGTGGCGCGAGCCATGTATCCTCCTCTGGACCCCAGGCTCCTGGAGGCTCGCTGCTCGGCACTCATCCTCACCCTCACACTCTTGGCTTGGCACGCTCGCTACTCCACCTCCAACTCTACCGTCACTCTCATCAACGAGGCACTCAAGGACATGGATCGCCATCTCATTGTAAGTATACACCGCTGAAATATATTTAAGTTGAAACGTAGTGTAGTCCTGGTCTCGTATCTTGGGTCTGCTCCAAGTCTGAGTATTTGTTATGGCTCGTGGAGGTAGACTATTATTTAATCGTGAACAGTTACAGTCCCGTGAAGATACTACTAGCTGAAGATCCTATTTAATTCGAGTAAATTTTTGTATGTGTGTATATATATATCTAACTTTTCCACCCCTATTTTTTTGTATGTGTATATATATCTAACTTTATTTTAAAATGTCATTACACAAAAAGGGGTTACAACATTGGTTACATGCAAGGTACAAGGCTACTTGTCACAGGTTGTAGAGTTCCTCCAGCTCCTCAGATGGCGGGCATGAACCATGGATGCAGTGAGCATTTCCTCTCTGGATCGCCACACTAAGGCGCTGAAAGAGTAAACTGGCGGCTCTAGGGGTCTTTAGTTGTTTCAATTAGCTTGGACCCCAGCTCCTTCAAAAAACTAGCAGCACTTTTACTCCAGGCACCAAGTGTCTCTGAGGCAATGGGGACAAAATTGTAATGATCAAGGTCTCTGTATATACGTGACTTGGCTGCTTCCCGGTGATTGGCAGCACTCCTGCCTGTGCAACACTGAAGTCAACACAGGTGTTGGCTAAAGTTGAAACGCAAGTGTAGTCCCACACCAACTGTCTACCATTCTTCCAGGGGATCACCGTGATCCCGTCTGGGCGACCGACAGGTTCATCAGAGTTGCAGGGCATTAGGTAACGGGGCTCTCTCTCTGCTGGACAACCAGCTGTGGTAAGGCTTCTCTTAATAATGTCGTTAACCTCGCCGTGTCTTGCATGCCATCCTCCTGTCCTTTATCAGAGATGGCCATGCCGTCCGTACCTGTCGGCTTCTGCCTCGCCGCAAATGCACATGTATTTGGTGTGGATTGGGGCAGCGAGGCGGAGAGCCATAACAATTCGGAGGGCCTGCGGTGTGAAACGAGTGCTGGTTGCTGACATTGGGGTTGCTAATAGGAAGTCACCTGCATGGGGAGCGGCTAGAGCTCTAAGTCGGGCAGTGTCATGTGGTATTGTGGCAGCTTCTAGGCATGTCGCAGCTTCTTGGTCGGCAATGGGGCGATCCCAGCTGGATTGCTTATGGGCTTCAGAAAGCAGTGGTTGGGGTGCTGGTCCTGCAAGAGAGACCCATTTGGTGGTGCAGTCTGTAAAGCTGGGATCATGTACCCCTACCTGTTGGCCTAGGTACTCAGGTAAGTTTTCCTTCACCAGGTTGGCAGACGCCACTGAAGAGGAAAGGAACGCTGGTACAGCAATTTGTGTTGCTGTGCGAACGCCGAGGCCCCCGAGTCTGACAGGAAGGGAGGCCTGTTTCCACTATGGGTCGCTGAGAGAAAGGTTGATGGCTTTTTCTAGCAATTGATTTCAGCAGGCTGTCGTACTCTTCTAATTTAATATTTTTAAAAGATGACGAACATCTAAGAAAGTAGGTCAGATAGGGGAGGGACAAGTATCTGGTGATGAGGTAAAGTGTATCATGAGCATCGATGTCTTCAATCCACATTCATCCTCTTCAGATGGCATTCCCTCCAAGAGGAGCTCCTGGAAATGTGTTGTCCCCAGGGTTGGTTATATAAATATCAGGCAAAACAACCTTTATTCGCTCTATTGTGTGCTGGTTGGTGGAAGTTATTTCGCACTTGGAAGAGTTCAGGGTGAGGCCTAGACTTGCTCTTTGCTCCTATGACGGCATATTCCGTATTTACTATTTTCTGATTTAGGGCTTCTGTTCCTCTTACTAATGCTCTTACATCAGGGTTCAGCTGGAAGAGGAGTTCACCAAAAGTCATGTTGTTTTCAAGGTGAAGAAAAAGAATTGAATAACTGAAGAATGGAATTCTTCAGTTATTCATGGAATTAAATATTCCATGTGCACCCAACAAATATTCTTCAATTATTTAATTCTTTTTCATCACATTGAAAAAACATGACTTTTGGTGAACTCTTCTTCCAGCTGAACCCTGATGCAAGAGCATTAGTAAGAGGGATAGGAGCCTTAAATCAGAAAATAGTAAATACGGAATATGCTGTCATATTCAATGAGACATGCATAAAAGAAAACCTGCTGCCAGTATACACCAATATATATATATATATATATATATATATATATATATATATATATATATATATATATATATATATATATATATATATATATATATATATATATATATATATATATATATATATATATATATATATATATATATATATATATAAAATGTGAGAAAGCTGCATGAACGCGCAAGCCATATATCACTAAGAACTCTTTGACCCGGCCACCAGGATTCGAACCCATGCCGTCCAGGATCACCCCTAAACGTACACAGTACCGTGACCACCGCACCAATGATCGTCGCTATATATTAATATAATATTAATATATATTAGAATATAATATTGTATTATATATTAATATAATATTAATATGTAATATTTATTAATATGAGTTAATATTGTCTACATGTATAAAAGAGAATATCTGCCTGTCTGTCCGTTTGTCGAAGGCTGAAGGACAGGCGTTTGGGTCCAGCCTCGTGCAACTTTCCCGAATGACACATTGGTGGTAGATGTGTCATAGGCAGGTTGGGGTAGGGTATTGCCCTCCCACTTCCTTTAATAGGATTGGCTCTTATTGCATTTACTATACCAACGACTGTGAAGTCTAAAATTGGGGCTTTGCATTCCATAGAGTTTATTCAGTAAAATGTTCATGAAAGTAACATTAGTAAAAAAAAGATAATTGTGGTTATAGTGTGTATGGCTGATGCTTTTATTGCTTGTTCTGAGAGAGAGAGAGAGAGAGAGAGAGAGAGAGAGAGAGAGAGAGAGAGAGAGAGAGAGAGACCCAGGTAACACCGGACATCCCATCTATTATACTATAATATGTAGCAACTAAAAATCTCTGCAACATGTTTTAAACACGACCTGGGACCACAGGTGCTGCGCGAGGCTGCGATGGCTCATGAAACCTACCATGGCATCTTTGCTGAGGACGCCGCGTGTGCTGCTGCCGAGTGCTGACTGCACCATTCTTTCAGCTACTGAATACTTACTGGACATTCCACTCAACTTCACTACCAACTACGGTACTTCACATGTTAGCAAACACACTTTAAATGAGGAATAAGTCTCTTCCTTGTTTGCCACGTACCAGTGTGTCTGCATCTTGGCTCACAACTGAGGGGATTCAGATTCAATATCTGGGAAGAACAAAAGTGGTTGGGGACATGTCCATTCACCTAATGCCTCAGTTTACCTAGCAGTTAAAAAGGTATCCTGAAATTAGGCAATTGTGTGTGGCAAACACACAACGTAACCACAATGTTAGTTTAATAATATTTCGCCGTTACAACATATAATGTTGTGATTACATTGTGTATTAACCTGGACAGACATATGGAGTACAGGTACAGACCTGGGCAGTATACACACCTGGAGTACAGGTACAGACCTGGGCAGTGTATGGAGTACAGGTTTTCCGACCCCCAACAGCGGGAATTAAAATCTGGCCAGTTATACTGTGCTGACCAGGAGTTGCTGGCGCCTGAGTACAGCAAGCACCCCGCGCTCACGAGCTGAAAAAATCGAATTTAACATGTTTTTAGCCTAACCATAATCGTACAAACATCGACAAACCCACCAACCCTATCATCCCGATGCTCGTTAGTCCAAGAATGTGCTAAAGTTGAGTTGCTGAGATTACATTAGTGTGTACAAACTAGGACGTTCCTACTGAAAACGGCCAAATGGAGGTGTATTAAGCCTGAGGCTGGGCTGCAGCCTCATATATGGTCTTGACTTTAGGACGGTCTTGTAATTCTGAACTGAAATTGCATTACTTATATGTTTTATCATGGTGATGACGACTGCACCTTGCTCGTGGTTGAGCATTGCAATGTGTAATGCTATCACGTCCTATGTAAAAATATGGTTGTAATTTTAACATTACCTTTTACTCATACATACAAAACTCATGACCTTATGATCAGGAGGTATAAATCCAAACAGAATTCATTGTATATTGTTTCTACACTACATTTATCAATCCTTGACATTCAAAAGGCAGCCCGTCCTCCAAAATGGGGAGGTAAATGTAACAACACAAGTAAGTGCAATTATGTACTATTCATAGCAGTCAGGAACTGTACTTATTTTCACTTAGTATTAAATCGTACTGTCAAATATATTGTGAATATTTGAGTTTACCTCAAAAGCTGAATAGAAAACCACAACCTAACCTAACCTTCTTAGTGTGTGAAGATAAGCATTTTATTGCTATCTTAATTACAGTTAGTACTTAACCTACATCTATGTTGATATTACAGTTTTATAAAACTAATAAAACACAACTAAAATATATCAATAAATTGTAAAGTAACTCAGGATATTTTCAATTTTTTTTGTAAAATCGCTATTGTTTAATTAAACTGAAAAAAATCCTTATATTTAAAACTTGTGTATAACAAATTGTACACGGGGAAGACATCTCCCGTCACGCAGGGTGCAGCCGCACCTCCACAGGTCTCCAGTATCATCTATTGATACTGGTAATGGCTCAAAAGGGCCACCACTTACGGGCTATTCGTGCCCGTGCCACCTTTTGGGTGGCTTAATCTTCATCAATCAACAAATTGTACTTAATAACTTCATCCTAAAAGTCTGAGTGCCTAACAGAAAACGAGGAGAATAAATGGAGAGGTAAATGTAACAGCCCCATAAGTGCAACAATTCGGAGGATGGGTTGCCAAAAGGATATTATAAGCGGCATATGCTAGACTGGCCAACATAAGAACTACATTTAGAATCTTGTGCAAGGAATCATTCAGAACCTTGTATACCATATATGTCAGACCAATCCTGGAGTATGCAGCTTCAGCCTGGATACAATACTTGGTTAAACACAAGACAAAGTAAGACAAGATTCAGAGGTATGCCACCAGATTAGTCCCAGAACCGAGAGGTACGAGTTACGAGGAAAGGGTACATGAACTAAACCTCACGGCCCTGGAAGACAGAAGTGTTAGGATAGACATGATCGCCACCTACAAAATTATCAGAAGAATTGGCAGGGTGGACAAAGACAAACTATTTAGCATGTATGGAATACGAACAAGAGGACACAGAGTGGAAACTTAGTACCATTTAGTATGCAGTTAATATCTGTTGACCAAACTACACACTGGAAAGTGAAGAGACGACGACGTTTCAGTCCGTCCTGGACCATTCTCAAGTCGATTGTATAAGTCACAATGGACTTCATAATGGTCCAGCTAGGACGGACCGAAACGTGGTCGTCTCAACACTTTTTAGTGTGTGGTTTGGTCAACATACTTCAGCCACGTTATTGTGACTCATCCGCATACAGTTAATATCTATGTATCCTTTGGGTTCAGGAGATTTCACATCTTTGTATTATAGAATGTAAATGCTCTGATTTTCTTAAAAGTGTTAAGAGTTGCTTTACTCTACAATTGATGTATTGTTGTATTAACCGACTTGTAAGTCGGCAAATGATGATCTGCTGCTATAAAATAGTTTAAATGTTGTTTAAGTGATATGTGCAAAAGTTTAATATGTAAATATTGAACTATAATGCTTCTTCCAGGCAACTATAATTTGCTGTGTTGTATAACTATGCACCATAATGTATTTTATATTTGCTTATATTTTTATATTTGCCACACTGTATAAGGTGTGAAGCAGTTAATATTTAGTGTATGCTGCATTGTCAGCCTAAATTCTTAAAATGTATATTATAGGATGCAATGTCGTCTCCAGTATGCAAGAAGACCACAGTATGGTCTTCAGTGATGTATCATGCATACTGACTGGAGATATTTTACGCTTCAATACTGTATTTACAAAAATGTAACAGTTGCTCTCGAAATTCCGTCATCAGTGCAACCCGTCCTCTTACAAATTACGTCGCTTTTCGCTCATATGCGCTGCAACCAAATCTCACGTAATTCAAAATAGAAATTTGGTTTCCAATTAAATTGTGGATTTTTTTCCCCAAAAAAACAGCAAGTTAAGGGTCGTCTGGTAGGTTAGGAGGGCAGGAAGTTCTCCTAAGGTTTCAAAACGTCATAAAAACCGTTAATTGAAAATTTCTTCTCCTAATCTAACAGCCTAAGCCAGAGGAGCCAAAACATAAAACGGGACAGTACAACGATTTTGAGCCTGTGTGCGCATACGAGCAAAAAGTGACGTAATTTGTGAGAGGACGGGATGCAGTGAACTGAGGTTTTACAAACAGCTTCAGAACAGTATGTCAAAGTTCCATAATAAAAGTGTACTTTCTCACATAATTTTACTAATGTGTGGGGAATTTACTCGTTTGTTTTCTTTGGGCTTGTTGAGCATGATTGTCCTGTTCTTGTTTTTTTGCTTCTACTTTTGTAAGTTGTAACTTTTGTAAGTTAAGTCAAGTCGCCGTATAAGTCGAGCTCTGTATAGCTTATTATATATTTTTTCAAATTATAAATAACATTACAAAAACAGGTGTGAAGAGTAATGTATACAGGATTTTTCAATGTATATCTCGTAAAAGAATGTTTTTAATCGAGGCTTGGATCATAAAGTGAATCAAAGCCAACATGAAAGTTTATGCGTGTATACATTTACTATTATATTAAATCATTAAGAGTCTTTGTTTTATTTTTTATTTTTTTCATTACTAGCTGCAAGTGAAGACAGTCCGGAGTCTGTGGAATGATGAGAGTATGAAGTTGGCAGTGGGTGGCTCAGTTGGTTGCTGGGCCATCATAGTCACAGTTTTAAAATTCTGTTCATTCAAAATAAAGCTGTGGCCGTCCCCCAAGATGCGTTAAAAAACTTTAGCGTATTGTTTATTAATAATAAACATGAGGTTATGTTTATTAAAAATAAACATGACGTTATTCTTATTAAAATAGGTTTGTTCTCATTAATATATTAATATTATTAAATATTAAAGTTATATGTACAGTTAGCCGTAGGGTAGGTTAGGTGCTCAGGTTCTGCTGCCGATTATTTCTGTTTATTATTTACGTGGTTTTTACAACATTTACAGAGTTGCGATTTAAACAGGCCTTCAACAGAGCATTGTTTGAGAAATTTTTGAACATCAATTGTGAGTCGTGTGTAAACCGTTTTTCATTTATAAACGGGGTTTGGTGGCTGAATTAACGAGCATTTCGCCTTTCTTGTTGCGCTGTTTAACGAGCCTGACCTGAGGACGGGTTGCAATATCATAAGTTGTGAGTCGTATGTTAATTGCTTTTCATTAATAAACAGGGTGTTTGCGGCTGGATTATCGAGCATAATTTGTTTATTCGGATGGGCTGCTACCGTAGTCTGCTACCCCCCAGACAAGCTTCTCATAACCTTGCCTAAGATGGTATACTAGCTGTCCGGACCTCCTCGGAGTGCCTGAGCGAAACTATGAAACGAGTTACCGTTAAAATAGGCACATACACTCTGCAGACCTGGTTCAACCTTGACGACGAGCGGACGTCTCGACACCTGCTCCGCCTGGGAGCCGCCAGATCACGTTCTGTGTCGCGATTTTGAATTATGATACTGCAGTTTGGCATTCCTATTCAACAGTCCGGATTGTTATGACGCCTGGCGCACATATCGCCTTGGGTCACAGGATAGTTGATAGATTTTTAACGTTTTCTGACTGGTTCTTCGGGCGGGGTGACGGTGTCCGACGCCGGCTTGGCCGAGAGGTGCCGGGGGTTAGCGGGCTGTGGTGGGCAGCTAGCTTCTGACTTTTTGCGTTTTAGTTGGGGGGCCGAGTTTTGGGGTTTGCTACCCAGTGTTCCCTGTGTGGGGCGGGGCCGGTGCTTGTCACCCCGAGGGACTCCTGGGGCTCCCCAGTCATCTGCCCGTCTGCGCGTTTATTTGCGGCGAGACACATTACTTTCCGCTGATAAGCGACATTCATTTCGCCATTAGGCTTCGCGATTAACCCTTCATGAGCACGCCGGGGCACATCCGATCCCACGATGGTCGTCGCCCATAAATAAACAACACTCTGCAGACGAATATTTTTAACTGAAGGAAAATAATTTTATGTGTACATCTTTACATTCTTACATGAGTGTGAATATATAACAAACATAAAGCAAAATCCAACACTTAAGCAAACCCAGTTACAGTGGTCGTTACTAACGACCGGCCGGTGGAGGCAACCTTCCCTACCTCAACACGGGCAGGTGAGAGGCCAAGGGACAGGGGAGGGGGGGGGGGGTAAAGTTTTTACTGACGTAGTAATTAGGTCATGTACATTCTAATTTACGTAGATGTCTATTTTACTTTTGGTTATTACATCGGAAAAAAGTGACCGAGTTTCCGGAGCTGAAGCGTACGTTTGTACATAACAATATATAAATGCATTTATTATGTCAAAATAATAATGCGTTGTGTTTTTGTGTTCGCTAGTCATAAAGATATATATTTACCTGAGTGATTGCCGTGTCACGGCTGAGTGTGGTCAGTAATATTTGATCAGCACCTCGTGACTAGCAGCATTGACTACACACCTACACTCCTCTTCAACGCGGTCAATATTATTGGTTACGACGTCTGAGGTCATGGACTGTGGCATGTGTGATGGGGTCATGTTCACTTGAGGGCAGAGTGCAGCAGCCACACTAATTTACACCATAAAGCTGTTATTGTTTAGAACCTTTGTTAGTGTGACGGATGGCTTGTGTGTAGGTGGGTGTGACGTCATACTTAAAGGCTCTCAATCAATTACAATTATTAGATAATGAGGCAACCTCTATTCTCTATATTGTTGCAATTTACAACAGTCCGAACACTAGTGTGATTGTTAATGCTTCACATGCTTCTAACTCAACTATTTAGTAATACAACCACACCAATAATTTGTTATTATCACAGCCTTACCATGTTAATATTTATATATTGCAGGTATGGTCTCTCAAATTTTATCATTATATAGCTGTCACTAACACGATTTCTTGTTCAAGAAATGCTTCACGCTATGAGTGTTAGTGGCTTTACAAGAATGTACTAGTTAATCACTAAAATATGTACCTCCCAACCCATTGTTCCTATATATACTCCCAGAATCCTTTTGTCTGGCAGTGGCCCTCCGCCTTGGTGCCCCAACTCACACTGAATACAAGTGTATTTGCAACAGGGTGGAAGCAGGCCAGTATGGACTGCATGGGTTACACTGCGGAAGATCCAAGGGCTGTCATGCAAGACACAACGAGGTCAATGACGTCATCAAGAGGAGCCTCGTTTCAGCATCCTAGGAGACTAAAACCCGGATGATCCCGCACTTCGCCCTGATGGCATCACTATATACCCCTGGAAAAGGGGCAAACAGTTGGTGTGGGACTACACATGTATATCCACCCTGGCTGACACCTACATACACTTCGGTGCTGATCAAGCAGGTGGGGCGGCCAACCACAGAGAAATAGTAAAATTAGTTAAATACAGGCGATTGAAAGGTCAATACACCTTTGTTTCCATAGCGTCTGAGACGCATTGCCCCTAGGGTAGGAGTGCCTTAGGATTTCTCAAGGAATTGAATTCCGGGGTCATTGACATCATCATGCAGAGACCCAATGGTTGCCAGGTTTTTGTTTCAGCGCCTCAGTGTGGCGATCCAGAGGAAAACGCCTGCTGCCCCCTCGGTTTCTTCATCCGGAAGCGGATCGATAACCTTTAATTGTATTAACTAATGTACATCTTGTAACCTTTAAATATCCAATAAATCACAACAAAACACAAAAGGAAGGGTGGTGGTAGGAGAAAAGCACAGAAACTG